TTTTTTGACCTTCAAGCACAGAAGTCTTCAAATCGAGAGAAGGACAATCGGTTGTTGATAGAAATTAATTTCGGTTCGTAAAGAATTAAATTGATAGAAGTTTGAAGCAAGAACATTGACTTGCTAAAAAAGTAGATAGTGGAAAAAAAAGTCAAGAGAAGGACAATCGGTTGTTGATAGAAATTAATAGATTACTAGTGTCACAGTGTGGGATTTTAAATATTAATGTAAAGCTCTTAAAATATTTTTTTCTTATAGAAAAACGAGATTATTATTTTAACCTGATGTGTCATAAGTGTTAACCAATTACATTGACTTGAAAAAGTGAAAGTGACAACTGGTCAATGCCAGCTAAAATTATAATCTTTAAAATAAAAAGGAAAAAATTAATAAGAAAAACTATTTTTTATATTTTATATTTTTAATTTTTAATTTTGTTAATTTAGATAACATAAAACTATAAGCTAAAATTTAATGTTTCTTTTTTTACCAATTGATATTAAATGTTTATCTTGATGCTTAGAGACTGAGAGTTTATTAAAGTATTAATACATAAAATTTAGAGTATTAAAAAAAAGAAAAAAGAAAAACTTATTAATGAAAAAGACAAGTAAATCTAAACAGAAGTTGATGCCTATTTGTATAAATAGCATAGAAGTAGTTTGTTGTGAGTCATAAAGCTTGAGTATATTAAGAGATAGGGGTGTTCAAAAGCGGTTAACCGAACCGGTTAACCGGTTTTTCGGTTCGGAAAAATTCCCGAACCGAAACCGAACCGGTTTGGAGGGAAAACCAGTTTTTTGGTTAACCGGTTTTGAACCGGTTTTCCCTTTTTTTTTATAAAACTTATTTTTTTTTCCTAAATTAAATTGTAAATATAAATAATACATATCCAAATAAAAATTAGACATTTATATATATCCATTGACTACTACTAACGATACATTAAAAATATTATTATTTTTTATTTAATATATAATATATAATATTATTATTTTTTATTTAATATATAATATTTATTTTTATTTAATATATAATATATATATTTATTTATTTTTTTTGTAAAACCGGTTCAAAAAACCGGTTTCGGTTAACCACTTTTTACTTTTTCCCGAACCGGTAACCGAACCGGAAATTCAGTTTTTTGAATTTTTCGAACCGTAACCGAACCATTTTTTCGGTTAACCGTTTTTTCGGTTCGGTTCGGTTTTTGCATTTTTTTGAACACCCCTACACTGCCCTGCTGGCTCGGCTCTTCCTCAGAGCTACTACCGGATGAAAAGGGACTGCCAGCCCCTACGGAGTCTTCCCCACTCCTACCATACCGACCCAAGCCACTCGGCCTAGCTCCACTCGACCTTGGAGCAGCGACACTAACTGCGGTCGGCACACTGACCGGAACGCTCCCTTCAGGCATCATCACCATAGTCGGGGCACGCTCATACTCATCCCCAACGTCCACCACCTCTTGACTTGAACCTGCTGACGTATCGTCTGACATCGGATCACTCGCACGTCCCAACCAACCGACTCGTTCCTTAGGGGATTCGAACTGAAGCACTGAGTGTCAACTACCAGTCGCCCCTCAACACCGCACGATGCCCCTCAAAACCGGCCTCCNTTGAGGATTTCAACAATTTCACATTATTACAAATTCCTAAAAAATCTCTCATTTACTATTAAACTTGAGGATTTCAACATATTTTATGGAGTTGATAATTTTATGATTATTGATTTATGTTTTCAATATTTTTTGAATAATTTTGTGATACATTATATGATAATATGCATGAATCAATTTATTCACTTGAAAATGATTGAGTATTTATAGGTTTCGAGAGGCTATCAAGGTTAAATAACTTGGAGGAATTGAATTTAAGAAGCAACAATTTCAACAACAGTATCTTATTATCTCTAACTGGTATCTCCTCATTAAAGTATTTGGATCTAATTGGTAATAGATTTAAACGAGTTGTTAATATTGAAGGTAATAAGCTAGCTTCTCATTCTCTTAATTTCAACCATTTCTTTGTGAATTATGTATATGAAAGAGTTTAATCTTGTGAAATTATTTAATCTTTTCCTAGGTTATATTCTTTGAAAGAGCTGTACCTGAACTACAATGAGATTGACCATCTTGTCAGCCCAAAGGTAGTAAGTAATAATATTTGTGATATGATCACAATTTACAGCTTCTTTGGAGCAAGTACAAGCTCTCGATCACAGCCGCACAATTTTGTCCCAAACAAAATATCACAACCGTTAAAAACTGTCTCAATATTTATAAAACCAGCAAAAGCTCCACTCATTATCTCATGCCTGTCAGATTCAGTTTTGAAAACCAAGCCAGCAAAAAATGTTTCACCATAATTACTAGAACACCCACACAATTACCTACCTTTTTACGGGTTATGAACTAAACAATGAAGGTTATTTTAGGAATGTAGGTAAAATAGAGTAATAAGCCAAAAAGCAATCCGTATGAGACCTTCACGCTCCTTTGAAGAGAGTGGATAACACACATCACCAATTAAGATTGCAAAGCCTTTTTAAGGGTTGAAAATTCCCATTTTCACCTTGTTAGAAGATTTTTAATGAAATCAAATTGTAGAATTTAAGATTTTAAATTATTATAAATATATCTTAAAATTCTTCACTAGTTCATTTCCCTATAATAACATCTTATTCGGATATACAACTGAATAATTTGAATGGGTTTATTAATATTCAAGGTAATTTAGATAGCTTCTCATTCTCATAATTTCAACATTTTTTTTTTTTTTTGTGAATTTACGATACAATTGGACATTTTAGATTAAATATATGAAACATTTTAATCTTGTGAAATTGTTTGACTATTTCCAGGTTTGAATAACTTGGAGGTTATCGATTTGAGTTCTAACAACCTCAACAATATGATATTATCTTCTTTGGCTGATCTCCCTTCATTAAAATCTTTGTATCTGGTAAGTGTTGGTTTGGCTGGAACTGTTGATGTTCAAGGTAAGTTTGATCAAGTTCCTCATGTCTTCTTAATGATCAAATTTTAATTAAGCTTGTTTAATTTTTTCCCAAGATTACAATCCTTGAAAAACTTAGAGAAGTTGGCCATGGGCTGGAACAGGATTGACAAATTTGTCAACTCTAAAGGTATTCAATTCATTCCATCAACAAAGGCCCATAACCAAACTCAAGTAATAATATTTAATGACTTTATTTCTAACTCTCAAATTTCTAATACAAAAACACAATCTTTGAGAATGTTATACTAAGTGATGCCCACAGCTATGTAAAATTATTTTTACATTATCATTTTCTAAAATTAAAATGAAAAATCAATTATTCTATTGTCTATTTGAAAACAGCTTTCATATTAATGAAATAGTTATAGTTTGAATATTTAGTATTATCTTTAGGGTCTGCTTGAGAGTTTTTTTTCACTGGTTTTGAGGGGTTTTTAATTGGACTGGTTTTGAGGTGTTTAAAAACCCCCACTTGCCAGATTTTTAATGGATTGGTTTTAACTGGTTTAAAAACCCCTCAAAATCAGTGTAGTGTATTTTTTAGGGGTTTATAAAACACCCCAAATCGGGGTGTTTTGGCTAGTTTATAAAATAAAAACCCCTCTCCACTCCCTTTGCTGCACACAAATCTCTTGCTGCTTCACACGAATCCCTTTACTGCACACAAATCCCTTTGCAATCGCTAATTCACAAGAAAAGATTATGTTCGGAATCAACTTCAACATGATCCCTCTCCCCTGTCATTCTCAACTCGTCTACTCGCAAAGGAAATCCATCCAATAACAGGCCATCTGCTGGAATCTGATCACCAGTCTTCAGTGACACAACGTCTCCAACTACGAGATCAAATATGGAGACACGTTGTTGGCGAGTGTCTCTAATAACTTCAACTTTGATATTTTTACTTATTTTTGATAGCTTATCAAATTGAGTTTCTTGTCTGTAGTTGCTGAGAGCTGACACAACAATAACCAGAAACACAGCTACAAATATAAGTGTCAAAAGTAAAGAAAAAAAATTAAGAGTAATGCTACATTTACACTATTTTTTTACATAATTTTCATTACATCATGATGTGACATATGCCACAACCACACAAATTTTTAATATTATAATAAAATTTATGTGATTATGGAATATGCCACATCATGATGTAATGAAAATTGTGTAAAAGAGTGGTGTAAATGTAACATTACTCAAAAATTAATTAAGCAAAATAGAGAGTGTTTGCTGTGTTGATTAAGCAAAATTAAGAGCTTCATGGAGGAGTTGGAGTAAAACAAATAATATAGGTATTATCTATATTTATCAAAGTTAATTAAGCAAAAGAGAGAGTATTTTAACTTTATGGGTATTTATGTAAATTTATCATTTAAAAAAACTGTTAGAACCGTTGGAAAATAAACTCCCAAGCACAGGTTGGGTGTTTTAAAAACCTCTATTAAAAGCCCCTCAAAACTACTATGGTGGTTTACCCTCAAAACCATTACAATGGTTTACCCTCATAACCGCTACCATAAAACATCCAAACAGACCCTTAAAATAAAATGCATTTGACAATTTTAACTTAAAATGTAGGGTAATTTAAAAAAAAAAAAAAAAGATTTTCTATGTACTATAAATATTATTTTGAAAATTATGAAACTTAATTCTTGAGTTTAATTTTCTTTTAAAAAAAAAAAATCTTAATCTTGATTTTCAAACTGTCTAGCAAACAATTTGTTTTTTAATTTTTCTAAATTCAAAAAATAGAATTATTTTTTATGAAAAAAAGACTAAAGTTACTTACTATAAACCATTAAGACCACAGTGTTACTAAAATTAATTAGAAAAATAGAATTCTTGAGGTTAATACTAATTCTTTTTATAAGAGTAAAAACCGTGTTTCATAAATCTTTATAATTATATATATGTAAGAGTTTAACCTTGTGAAATTGTTAATCTTTTCCTAGGGTTACATTTTTGAAGTATTTGGACATGGTCTATAATGAGATTGACCAACTTGTCACTCGCAAAGGTTATGATAAAAAAATATATTCTAATAAGTATTTTGAGGTTTTAATTAGGATACTTTTAACTTATGCGAGACTCTTATATAAAAGAATATGGAGAATAGTTTTGTAAATTATTTTTATAATATTCTTTTTAAAATTAAAATGAAAAATATTTATAATGAATTTTGACATTATTAACTAAAAAATGTAGGGAAAAATGGATTTATCGTGTTCTGTAATTTTTTTTTTTAAATTTTCAAAATAAAATTCTCGAGTTCATTTAAAAAAAAAAAAATCTTATGAATCTTGATTTTTAAAGACACATATTAGTAAACAACATTTTTATTTTTAGGTTTTTAAATTGTAAAATAGAGAATGATAAAATGAAGTTGTGATTGTTTTTATAATTTAATGAAATCCAAACAAAAATTTTATATATGTATTTACTAATTTATCCTTATATTTGTTAATTTAATTATATATAGCAATAATGTCATTATATAATTATTTATTTTAGTAATTACTATATTAATTGACATTAATTATGGTTCCAGTATTAACCTACTTTATTTTAGGCAACATTTAATTAATTGACCTAATAATTAAGGCAAGTATTAATTACTTTATTTATGAATAATATATATTATTTAAACATTAATTATAAGTTAATATTATAAAATTAATAGAAAATATAAACATATTATCTATATATAAATGTAATTTGGACTTTTTAAATTAAATATATGAAATAGTTTACTCTTGTAAAATTGTTTGACTATTTTCAGGTTTGAGTAACTTGGAGGTTATCAATTTAAGTTATAATTAGGAGACTTTTAACTTTTATGAGACTCTTATATAAAGAAATATCGAGAATAGTTTTGTAAAATTATTTTTATAATTTTTTTAAAATAAAAATGAAAAATATTTTTTTCATGTTAATGACTTTTGATATGACTGACTAAAAATTGTAGGGAAAAAAGGATTTATCGTGTTCTGTATATTATTTTTTAAAAATTTCCAAAATAAAATTCCTGAGTTCAATTTTTTTTATTAAAAAAAATATATTATGAGTCTTGATTTTCAAATACACAAACTAGTTATATTTTTAGGTTTTTAAATTGTAAAATTTTAAATTGTAAAATAGAGAATGATTTGAAAGAAAGAAAAAATGAAGTTGTGATTGTTTTTATAATTTAATTAATCCAAACAAAAAATTTATATATGTATTTACTAATTTATCCTTATATTTATTAATGCAATTATATATAGCCATTATGTCATTATATAATAATTTTGTTTTAGTAATTACTATATTAATTGACGTTAATTATGGTTCTTGTATTAAACTACTTTATTTTAGGCAACATTTTATTAATTGACCTAATAATTAAGGCAAGTATTAATTACTTTATTTATGAATAATATATATTATTTAAACATTAATTATACGTTAATATTATAAAATTAATAGAAAATATAAACATATTATCTTAATACATAAATATATAAAAGTAATTTGGACTTTTTAAATTAAGTATATGAAATAGTTTACTCTTGTGAAATTGTTTGACTATTTTCAGGTTTGAGTAACTTGAAAGTTATCAATTTAAGTCATAACAACCTCAGCAATGACATATTATCATCTTTGGGTGGTCTCTCTGCATTAAAATCTTTGTATCTAGAAGATATTGAATTGAATGAAACTGTTGATTTTAAAGGTAAGTTTGATAAAATTCCTAATGTCTTCTTATGATCAATTTTTAATTAACTCTGTTTCATTTTTTCCTAGGATTATGTTCCTTGAAAAACTTAGAGGAGTTGTGCATGGACTTGAATAAAATTGACAAATTTGTCAACTCCAAAGGTATTCAATTTATTCCATCACCACAGGCCCATAACTAAATTTAAGTAATAATATTTAATCAATTTATTTTTAACTCTCAAATTTCTACCCGATTGTGTATTTGAAAACAGTTTTCATATTAATGAAATATTAAATAAATAGTAATGCTACAATAGGTATTATTTTACAAATTAAAAAACATAATTCTTGAGTTTAATTTTTTTTTTTTTTTTAACAAAAAAAAGTTCATCTGAGTCTTGATTTTCAAAACTGTCCAACAAACAAATTTTTTTTTTTAATTCAAAAAATAGAGAATTATTTTTATTAAGAGAAAGACTGAGGTTAATTTCTATAATCCATTAAGCCTATAATGTTATTTGTACGTTTTTTAAGTTTTTATTTTTTATTTTTTTCAGAAACGCATAACACAGTTTTTGAGGTTAATACTAATTCTTTTTATAAAAGAAAAAATTGTGTTTCTCAAATCTTTGTACTCCACCTAGTAAAAAAATATTTTTTATTTTATTTAATATGCAAAATATGAGAATTGAGTTTTAGAAATAAATAAATTCTTTTGTAAAATCCATTCCTTGTATTATGTTGAAGACTGTTAATTATAATTCAGTTTTTAACTTACAGATTATAGAGGCTTGAAGAAGTTGAATGCCCTTTCTCTATAGAGTGGTATTGAAACCACTAATGCAACAGTTTTTCTACAATCAACATTGAAGTTGTTCTCATCCTTAAAAGACACTTGACCTTTCATATAATAGTTTTCATCAAACAATGATTGCTCGTGGTAAGAAATAGGTTAAAGTTATGATGGTAAAACAAAATTGTTGATAATTTGTCAATTACTTACCTAGCATCATTTAAAGCTTTTAAGATTTTAAATTATTTAAATATATCTTAAAATTCTTCACTAGTTCATTCCCTATAATAACATCTTATTCGGTAACACTGATAATTTGAATGGGTTTATTAATATTCAAGGTAATTTAGATAGTTCTCATTCTCATAATTCAACATTTTTTTTTTTTTTTGTGAATTTACGATACAATTGACATTTTAGATTAAATATATGAAACATTTAATTGTGAAATTGTTTGACTATTTCCAGGTTTGAAACTTGGAGGTTACGATTTGAGTTCTAACAACCTCAACAATAGATTTCTTTCTTTGGCTGATCTCCCTTCATTAAAATCTTTGTATCTGGTAAGTGTTGGTTTGGCTGGAACTGTTGATGTTCAAGGTAAGTTTGATCAAGTTCCTCATGTCTTCTTAATGATCAAATTTTAATTAAGCTTGTTTAATTTTTTCCCAAGATTACAATCCTTGAAAAACTTAGAGAAGTTGGCCATGGGCTGGAACAGGATTGACAAATTTGTCAATCTAAAGGTATCACATTCCATCAACAAAGGCCATAACCAAACTAGTAAATATTTAATGACTTTATTTCTAACTCTCAAATTCTAATACAAAGACACTATATTGAGAATGTTATACTAAGTGATGCCCACAGCTATGTAAAATTATTTTTACATTATCATTTTCTAAAATTAAAATGAAAAATCAATTATTCTATTGTCTATTTGAAAACAGTTTTCATATTAATGAATAGTTATAGTTTGAATATTTAGTATTATCTTTAGGGTCTGCTTGAGAGTTTTTTTTTCACTGGTTTTGAGGGTTTTTAATTGGACTGGTTTTGAGGTGTTTAAAAACCCCCACTTGCCAGATTTTTAATGGATTGGTTTTAACTGGTTTTAAAAACCCCTCAAAATCAGTGTAGTGTATTTTTAGGGGTTTATAAAACACCCCAAATCGGGGTGTTTTGGCTAGTTTATAAAATAAAAACCCCTCTCCACTCCCTTTGCTGCACACAAATCTCTTGCTGCTTCACACAATCCTTTTGCTGCACACAAACCCTTTGCAATCGCTAATTCACAAGAAAAGATTATGTTCGGAATCAACTTCAACATGATCCCTCTCCCCTGTCATTCTCAACTGTCTACTCGCAAAGGAAATCCATCCAATAACAGGCCATCTGCTGGAATCTGATCACCAGTCTTCAGTGACACAACGCTCCAACTACGAGATCAAATATGGAGACACGTTGTTGGCGAGTGTCTCTAATAACTTCAACTTTGATATTTTTACTTATTTTTGATAGCTTATCAAATGAGTTTCTTGTCTGTAGTTGCTGAGAGCTGACACAACATAACCAGAAACACAGCTACAAATATAAGTGTCAAAAGTAAAGAAAAAAAATTAAGAGTAATACTGCATTTACCACATTTTTTACACAATTTTTATTACATCAGATGTGACATATGCCACAACACCACAAATTTTTAATATTATAATGAATTTATGTGGTTGTGGCATATGTCACATCAGATGTAATGAAAATGTGTAAAAGGTGGTGTAAATGTAACATTACTCAAAAATAATTAAGCAAAATAGAGAGTGTTTGCTTGTGTTGATTAGCAAAATTAAGAGCTTCATGGAGGAGTTGGAGTAAAACAAAAATATGGTATTATCTATATTTATCAAAGTAATTAAGCAAAAGAGAGAGTGTTTTAACTTTATGGGTATTATGTAAATTTATCATTTAAAAAACTGTTAGAACCGTTGGAAAATAAACTCCCAAGCACAGGTGGGTGTTTTAAAAACCTCTACTAAATACCTCTCAAAACCGCTACGGTGGTTTACTGTCAAAACCATTACAATGGTTTACCTCATAACCGTACCAAAAACTCCCAAACAGACCCTTAAAATAAAGCATTTGACAATTTTAACTTAAAATGTCGGGTAATTTTTTTTAAAAAAAAAGGATTTTCTATGTACTATAAATATTATTTTGAAAATTATGAAACTTAATTCTTGAGTTTAATTTTCTTAAAAAAAAAAAAAAAATTCTTAATCTTGATTTTCAAAACTGTCTAGCAAACAACTTGTTTTTTAATTTTTCTAAATTCGAAAAATAGAATTATTTTTATGAAAAAAAGACTAAAGTTACCTACTTAAACCATTAAGACCACAATGTTACTAAAATTAATTAGAAAAATAGAATTCTTGAGGTTAATACTAATTCTTTTTATAAGAGAAAAATTGGTGTTCATAAATCTTTATAATTATTATATGTAAGAGTTTACCTTGTGAAATTGTTAATCTTTCCTAGGGTACAATTTTTGAAGTATTTGGCATGGTCTATAATGAGATTGACCAATTTGTCAGTCCCAAAGGTTATGATAAAAAAATATATTCTAATAAGTATTTTGAGGTTTTAATTAGGTACTTTTAACTTATGCGAGACCTTATATAAAAGAATATCGAGAATAGTTTTGAAATATTTTTAATATTCTTTAAAATAAAATGAAAAATATTTATAATGAATTTGACATTATTAACTAAAAAATGTAGGGAAATGGCTTTAGCGTGTGAATTTGGGAGAGTGGTATCTAAATGCTTCTTTGTTTTCTCCCTTCCAACAGCTACAATCTCTTAACTTAAGGGGCAACAATATAGCTGGTTGTATTGAGAACGAAGGTCAATTGTCTTCCTCCCTTAAACTTAATTTATTTCTATATTTAGGTTAATGTATAATTTCAAATAAATTTATTTGCATCTAGCTAGTACCATATGATTTTAATAAAATGATTTCACATTATTACAAATTCCTCAAAAATCTCTCATTTACTATTAAACTTGAGGATTTCAACATATTTTATGGACTTGTTAATTTTATGATTATTGATTTATGTTTTCAATATTTTGTGAGTAATTTTGTGATATATTATATGATAATATGCATGAAGCAATTTATTCGCTTGAAAATGATTTAGTATTTACAGGTTTTGAGAGGCTATCAAGGTTAAGTAACTTGAAGGAATTGAATTTAAATGTCAACAACTTCAACAATAGCATCTTATCATCTCTAGTTGGTCTCTCCTCATTAAAGTATTTGTATCTATATGAAAATAGATTTAAAGGAGCTGTTAATATTGAAGGTAATAAGCTAGCTTCTCATTCTCTTAATTTCAACCATTAATTGTTTGTGAATTTCTAATAACTGGGCTTTTAAATTATATATATAAAAGAGTTTAACATTGTGAAATTGTTTAATCTTTTTTCAGGGTTACATTCTTTGAAGAAGTTGGATATGAGCTCCAATAAGATTGAGTATTTTGTTAGCCCCAAAGGTAATAAGTAATAATATTTGTGACATGATCACAATTTACAGCTTATTTGGAGTAAGTACAAGCTCTCAATCACAACCACATAGTTTTCTCCCAAACAAAATATCACAACCGTTAAAAACTGTCTCAGTATTTATAAAACCAGCAAAAGCCCCACTTATTGTCTCGTGCCTGTCAGATTCAGTTTTGAAAACCAAGTCAGCAGAAAATGTTTCACTTTAATTACCAGAACAACCACACAATTAACTACTTTTTTAATGGGTTATGACTTATGAACTAAACAAGGAAGGTTATTTTAGGAATGCATGTAGAATAGAATAATAAGCCAAAGTGCAAGCATTATGAGACATTCACGCTCCTTTGAAGGGAGTGGACAACACACATCACCAACTAAGATTGCAAAGCCTTTTTAAAGGTTGAAAATTCCCATTTTCACCTTGTTAGAAGATTTTTAATGAAATCAAATTGTAGAANATATGTTAAATTGTGGTTATCAGTTGGTGATTTCAGCTCAAAGACTTGGTATTTAGCTGAATTTGGCATTTCGATTAAATTTGGTGTCAATTTTTTCAATGGCAAATGTATGATGCTTTTTGGGTAATAGCTGTGATGAACTTGGCTTTGTGTTGAACCTCAACTTATCTATAATGATATGTATGACTTACAGGGTGCTGGTCTTGAAAATCTTGGAAATACTTGTTTTCTCAATTCAGTGTTGCAGTGTCTGACATATACAGAGCCTTTAGTGGCATACTTGCAGAGTGGCAAGCATCGAAATTCTTGTATGTGGCTGTCTATTTCTGATCAATCCTTTCTTTTTTTTGCTTTTTATCTCCATGAACACAATAATATAGGCATGCAGATTTCTGAATCAATTCATGTGTCTAGCTGTACTTTTATTTCTTATGATGGGTTTATAGAAGCATATTTAGCTTTGATATCGATCTCTCATGGATATGTAGTTGCTTCATTGAAAATAAAGTTCAAAGACTTTCATAGTTGTTTCAGAAGGTTTTGTGGTTTATGTACTGTCACTGTGAGTGTGATTTAATTATTTTCATTATTTTCATTTTTCTTGTATTATTTTCATTTTCATCATCTGATACCAGTTTCAAATTATTTTCATTTTCTTTTTCTGTGTATTACATTTTTCTTGTTATTAAGTTTTAATCATTTGAGATTAACTTTGGATTGTGCAACTATATTTGGTATCAGCTTAAAATCCAATAAATACATATGCAATAAATAAATATTTTAAAAAAATTATTTACACGGTTCATGTAATAGCTTGAAATGAAAAAGTGACAAAAAAGATAATAAACAACTTAAAGAATAAATGATGAATTTAAAGTGATCACTTTGTATTAATTGATGAAATTGAAATAGTGACCAAAAATAAAAAAATAAAAAAATATCAAAATCATGCCTATCTTAATAAGAAATTTGATTTACTAATATTTTATGTAAATGTTTATGAATTTTATATGTTAATAATTAAATGACATGCTTTATTTCAGGCTTGCATGAGATGGTGCATTTGCAAGAGTTGTATATTGGCTATAATGATTTACAGGGTCCCTTACCTCCAAGTTTGGCAAATTTGACTTCACTTAAGCAATTAGATATTTCTTCCAATCAAATTACTGGAAACATCTCATCTCCCCTTAAGGATCTACCATCCATCAAAGTCATTTCAAACAATTACAAGTCCCAATATCACTCAATTCGTTTTTTAACCTTTCAAACCTCAAATATTTCAAGAGTACAAATAACCAAATATATTTTGAAACCATGTCATATTCTTTGACCCCAAAATTTCAATTAAATTCCATCACGTTGTCTGGTTGTGGAAATGATGACAATTTTCCCAAATTTCTTTACCATCAACATGACTTGGAACAAGTTCAACTCTCTCACATTAACTTTGGTGGAGAATTTCCGCATTGGTTGTTCTACAACAATACCCACCTAGGAACACTTTGTCTAGCTAATAATTCTCCTTTAGAAACTTTCCTATTGCCATTTCAAACCAACATACATTTAAAAGAATTAGATATCTCCGTCAATTTCTTTCATGCCCAAATTCCAATGGAGATTGGTGCAAAACTACCAAAGCTAATACAATTGAACATTTCTATAAATATTTTCAATGGTAGCATTCCATCTTCTTTTGGTAACATTACAATTGGATGTAATCATTTTAGTGAAGAGATCCCAAAAAGCTTGTTGAATTGCTATTCTTTAATAGTATTGTATCTCAAAGATAAACATCTCTAAGGCAAGATCCCAAGATGGTTTGGAAATCTATCAACTTTAGAAGTTATTGTAATGTCAAATAATGAATTTGAAGGTCTAATTCCGAAAGAACTACGTCAAATTGATGATCTTGAAATTTTGGACCTTTCAGGCAATAATATCTCTGGAAGTTTTCCATCTTGTTTTATCCCTACAGGAATCAAGCAAGTTCACTTGTCAAGAAATAGATTGCAAGGACAGTTAAAAGATGCTTTCTACATTAATAGTTCTCAGTTGGTAGTCTTAGTTGTTAGCTATAACCACTTCAAAGGGAATATTCCAAGTTGGATTGGCAAACTCTCTTCTTTAGGGTACCTTATCTTAAGTAACGATCATCTCAAAGGTAAATCACCAGTCACAGCAATTAACCATATACAATAACCCAATAAACAAATTGAATAGAGTGAGAGAATACCAATTAATTGTCAGCTTTGCTGCCTGCATGAATGAGTAAACTATCACTGGTCCAACAAATTAAAACCCCCGCTTCAGTAAATCCTTGCTGATGGCTTCAGCTTTTGGAGTCCTTAAGGGAACATTTCTTGGATATCTGTATTTGTTAATCACTGGGTTTTACATAACCCCACATAAAGCTACTGAAGGACTGGAAATCGTTCACAATCTGCATTTGGACAATGAGGTTAAGTGAGCAACTAATGAGCAGTGCAATTCAAAGAGATTGCAGAAAAAGTAAATATATACTGAGGAATTGAATATTCAAACTTACTTTCATTATGCAGTTGGCATTGTCTAGTATGCACCTCTCTCCGCTCTCTGCCAACATTATTGCTTTGTCTGATAATATCTCTAAGATCTCTTTCTCCCCCATTTTGGCAACAACCACAGGATCGAATCCCGCAAGAGCTTCTCTATGTTATCGACCAAATGGTTAGATTTATGATGAAGGTATCTTGAAATATGTAAATTTTAGTTACATTTGAGTAGTGCAAAAGAAGTAGTACCTGAATAATTCTTTTCTTTTCAAGATTTCAATCCGGTTGTAATCCATCAACATACCACACAATGCAAGTAGCTCGAACAGTGGACTGTTTGATGATAATTTACCATTTAAAAGTTGGCACTGATTTTTCATAATTTATATATTCACTGGATTAAATATTACAACTGACTTACTTGTCATCATAAACTGGAACTCCCCAGGATTCATCATGAATGCAACATAAACTTTATCTGTATCAAACATTATGTCAATCTCATACAGTTCTTTATTAAAATAAAAAAAAAATATCTTTGTTAGTATACATTAATGTCCTCAATTAAGAAGCAATGTACATCTGAAATGTGTAAAGTAGGAGAAGATGTTGATTTTAATCTGGTTAATTAATGACAGTTTCAAGAATATCTGGATTCAGACTATAAACACAGTTAACATGCAGTATAGTTGTAAGGAAGGCTTTATTGTAATTTTTTTTTTTATCAACATTTAGTAATAAATATTACATTTTATCATTATCAACTACCATAATAAGCCATGATTGAGACAGAGTAGGGAAACTAACATGCGACAAGAAGCATAAAACCTTCTAAACAACTATTAGTTGATGATTCCTTCGCCACTGTACACACCCTGATCCCAAAGCAACTCTAAGATCTATCTGCAAAAATTGACATCAAATGAGATCCATTGATCACCAGTCACAGCAATTAAACATACACAATAACCCAATAAACAAATTGCATAGAGTGAGAGAGTACCCAAGATGGATTCCTGCTCAGCCTCATCATGCACCTCAGAAGTGGGATTTCCCAGAGTCCTCAAGCTTTTCATCAGCCCACACCATTCTAATTCAAAACCCAAATGGAAATTAGAAAAAGAAATATCATGAAAAAAAAAAAAAAAAAAAAAAAAGAGAGAGAGAGAAATAAATCTGAACTTGCCACAATTAAACATTAAAAAAAAGAATAAATATGAAGATACTTGAAGGAAGAGCATTGACCAAGTTAGCAACAGCAGGGCAACCAACGAGCAAAATCCACTTAACCTCTCAAACTCATCACAAACGCTAAAAGTGCCGCTGACTTGGTCGGTGGTGGTGCTGACAGCAGCTTCAAGATCGAATGCAGACGAATCGGATTCTTGAGAAAAGGCGTAAGAGTTCCAATCAGCCAGCACAGACAAAGGCTTTTGTTGGTGGTCGTTTGAGTTAACAGTGCTTGGACCTCTGATGAACCATGCTTGTGCTGTCTTCTGCCTTTGTATCAAGCGTTGTGATTGTGAGATTGACTGTCAGAGATAGATCTATGCATTGCAAGCAGGTTTATGTAAACTCCCACACCCAAATTACGGCAAACATAAATTCAACCACCATTAACATCATATGAAGTTTGTGAGATCTGATGATAAAATTAAGCATCTCAAACCAACGTTCACATCTAGATTATCAAATTAAAAACTACTGGTTCGTTAAAAGAAACCCAATTGAAGTTCATTTCCTTTTTCTAGTACCTCCTATCATTACAAATAAATAAATAAATTAAAAAAAAAAAAAAAAGGTAAACGAAGAACTAAAAGTAAAATGAAAATGAATAAAGAAGAAGAAGAGAAGCACTAAAGTAATACCTCTGTAACTGCATTTTCCAAGAAAAGCACAGATAATGTGACGTGTAGAATCATCTGCTTCTACCAATAGAACTCTAAGAACCATCCTCGGCAGAAATCTTTCCCACCTAACCACCTCAGACGAGCCATCCTTCTTAGTCTTGTTCTTCTCTGTCTCCAACTCCATTTCCATTGCTTCTTCATAGCTCAAAATCACCACACCCATTCTCATAAACCCTGCTTTTCACCACAAGACAAACACAAATACTAAAAACAATAACCCTAATTTCTTGGTAAAAATAACCGTAGAAGCAAATGAATAAAAGGAAAATGCTTTGTAAATAGAGTTCAGCAAATGTTCTCTGCAAAGTCTCTCTTAGTAACCAACAAAAACTAAATTAAATTGCACAGTTAAAATCAAATTTGGAGTAAAAATGAGTACAGCAAGAAAACGCACCGTTTAGATCGACCGACCTTGGGCTCTTCGTCGATGGCAGAGATGAGATCGGAGAAGAGATCGACGCAGAGGACAGGGTCAGGCGATTGTTGCAATGCCGAGGCGACTATAGACTCCTGCACCACCAATATGCCGAATCGCGAGACCGGAGTGGA